ACGACGACGACGACGCGAACGACGACGACGACGACGAGACGACTACTACTACTACTACTACTACTACTACTACTACTACTACTACTACTACTACTACTACTACTACTACTACTACTACTACTACTACTACTACTACTACTACTACTTACTTACTACTACTACTACTACTACTACTACTACTACTACTACTACTACTACTACTACTACTACTACTACTACTACTACTACTACTACTACTACTACTCCTCAGTCGTGTCCTGAAGAAGCCGCACTCGGGGGGGCGCTTCGCCGTCGTCCCCCTCGGCTGCCCCTCCCGAGCTGCGCTCCCGCGGTCGCCCGCGTGGACGCGGGCAGATACCGCGCCCGCGCCCTGCGCCTCGCGCCTGGCGGGCCGGGAGTGCAAGGGGCCCAGCGGCTCCTCCTCTTCGGCGGCGTGCCCGGGAGGGAAGGCAGAAGGGGGAGAGCTTCCTCCGGGGACGACGGCGAGGGCACGCGCGCAGAGGGGGGAGCGAACGGCGAGGCGACCTGGGAGAGGAGGGGACACCCAGGCAGTCTGCGCCCCTTCTCTGCCTCGCGCTCGGCGGCCTTCGTGCTTCGGCGGCGTTCCCAGGGAGGGAGGCAGAGAGGGGGCGGGCCTTCCCAGACGGCTCAGAAGGCCTCGGGCCTTCCGAGAAGCTCTCGAAGCCTCCCCCCCGAAGCCTCAGAGGGATTCTCAGGAGGCGGGGGGGGGCTCTGAGAAGCCCCGCAGCCTTCTGACAAAGGCTGCCCCCTCTCCGCCCGCTGGGATCCCAACGAATGGTAGGCGTTTCAGTTTGCGCCTGCATCCTTTTGCGGAGCTGAGCTCCCTGACGCCATCGGCCGAACGACCCCTAACGCGGGGCGTTTTGCTGACGCGGTCGGCCGCCACAAACATCTGCTGTTAACTTCCCCACTCGGGCGCGCCGCCCAATGCCCGACTGCTGCCTGGACTCTCTTCTGCCCCAGGGGGCGCACGGGGGACGGCCGGAGCGGGCCGCGCGGGGCAGGCCTCGGGCTGGGCAGGTCTCGGGGGCCTCCAGGAGGCCTCTGGGGAGCCTCTCGGGGGCCTCTCTGGAGCCTCCTGGTGGCCTCTGGGGGCTTCCTGGGGGCCTATTGGTGGCCTCCTGGGGGCCTCTTGGGGGCCTGCTGACGGTCTCGGGGGTCACCTTGGGGCGGATGGCTTGAAATGCCAGTTCGTGTTCTCCCTCTTGGGCCCTTTCAGGGAGATTCGGTCTTTTTTACAACCAGAACAACCACTTTACAACCATATGGTTTACTTTACAACCAACATAGGATTGGAAAGTATGTTTTTTCAGCGAGAACGTCCACTTTGCAACCAGAACGGCCCACTTTACAACCAGAACGGACCACTTTACAACCAGAACGGGCCACTTTACAGCCAGAAGGGACCACTTTACAACCAGCTCAGAGTGGCCGTGCGTGTTTGGGCGTTCTGCACAGTGCCCCAGAGCAAGTGGGCGCTCTGAAAAATGCTCCAGAGCAAGTGGGCGCTCTCAAAAGTGCTCCAGGGCGCGCGGACGCTCTGAAAAGTGCTCCAGAGCACGTGGGCGCTCCGGAACCCGAGCGCCTGAACGCTCTGCGCAGGCCCCAGCGATGCCTCTGAGCGGTTTCCATTCCCGCTGGGCGCGTTCTCCTTTGACGTGCCTTACTTCCATGTCTACCTACTGGGGCGTGTCCACCTCCGCGGTCACCGCCATGTTCAAGACGGTGGTCGGGGTCTTCACCAACGGCCTCGTATTGAACCCCTTCGACTGCAGTTTCCACTGTAACCCTGCTACCACCACACTTACCGCTGCAGCCCCGCTACCTCCACAATTCTGACTGACCCCCCGCTACCACCACATATCCCATTGCAGCCCAGCTACCACCACAGTTCCCACCGCTGCCTGGCGACCACCGCACTTGCCACCGCAGCTTCCCAAGACCATGCAGTTCCCATTGTAGCCCCCGCTACCACATCTCCCACTACAGCTTCCCACTGCCATGCAGCTCCAGTCTTGGACAGGATCATGGTTTATTCGTCTGTCCTGCGCGAGTAGCCTTCGTCCGTCAGAAAAAAGGCAGAGCGAGCAATGTCAGAACTGACCGACAGAGCTTAGAGAGCAGGTCAAAACCAGAATCCGCCCATCAGCACGCAACATACCATAGCGCACCAGGTTGTCGCATCACCAACGCGTGCGCAGTGCTTCTTCGTGCGCGATGGGCAATTTTACAACCAACATGCCTCAAAGAGGCCAAAGCCACCCTTGCGCTTGCCCGCGGAGATTTCAGGGAAAGGCCCGCGTGCATACAAACTGTGTTTCCACTTGCCTGGTTGTAAAATGCCCTTCCTGGTTGTAAAGTGCCCTTTTCGGATTTTGTAAGCTGGTTGTAAAGTGACCCATCTGGTTGTAAAGTGCGCTTCTGGTTGTAAAGTGACCCGCGCGCCCCTTTCAGGGGCCGTCTTCGGCCGCCTCGGAGCGACCTCGGGGGCCTCTGCGGCCGTTCTGGAGCGTCGGAAGCACACGGGGGCGATATCGCTAAACTCCTGCCAGAATCTACAAGAAATCGATGATTGCGAAGGCCTTGCTGCTGGGGCCTTCGACCCTGCGTGCGAGCAGTAGGATGAGGAGGAGGAGGAGGAGGGGGAGGAGGAGGAGGAGGAGGACGAGGAGGGAGGAGGAGGAGGAGGAGGAGGAGGAGGAGGAGGAGGAGGAGGAGGAGGAGGAGGAGGAGGAGGAGGGAGGAGGAGGAGGAGGAGGAGGAGGAGGAAGAAGAGGAGGAGGAGGAGGAGGAGGAGCGCAGGGGCTCCTCCATCGTCTAGTTCCCTCCTCCCTCCTCCCCCTGGCTTCTTGGGGACTCTTGGGGACCTTCTGGGGGGTTGCTCGAGGTTGTTCCTTGTCGGATGGCTGGTGTGGCCCGCCTGCCACGCGGCCGCGCGGGGCCTCGTGGTGCCCTCCCTGCCTTGACGTCGCGCTGCGCCAACGGCGCGCCGCCTCTCCCCGCAGGCCCCCCTCCTCCTGGGGAGGGCCAAGCAGCAACAGCAACGACACGCTGCGGATGGGGGCCCGTCATCCAGAGGAAGTAATGGTATCGATGCCTCGACCCTTGCCTCGTTTCTTGTGCGGCCTCCTGGGAGGCCCTCGTCGCCACCGCTGGATACTCTGGCCAGGCGCTGAGGAATCCCAGCCATCGGGGCCTTGGCACCCATTCGTGGTCCTTGCCCCCTCTACTTCCAAAGGCTGCTATCATTTCAATCGTCTCACGGCCCCTCTGTTCCATGTTTTCCCCCTCCTCCCCCCCTTGCCTCCCCTCTTTCTTCTCCTCCTCGTCCTTGCGCAGTAGCCCTGGACCTGCTCGGCTCAAGGGCACCTCTTTTCCAGTCTTTCTCCTGATGTGACGCATCTCTACCTTACCTTTTTGTACGGTCTAGCTGGAGTATGGTCCTCGCCCCTCCGCGCACCGTCCGCCTGCTGCCGCTGGCGTTCTGGAGCTGGTGGCGGTGTGCCGGCGGGTTGCACCTGGGCGACGTGGCCTCGTCGCCACAAAGCGCGGTCAGCACAGCCCCAACGCAGCCCGCGGCGGCGTCCAGACCCTTCCCGGCGCTCCCTGCGGAGGCGCGCCAGGGCGCGACTAGCGGCGCTGCGCCCAAGCGTCCCTCCAGCACAGCACCTGCGCAATCGGCGGCGGCGGCCGAGCCGCTGCACACGTTCCCGGCGACCGCCGGCGTCCTGCCGACGCGCTCCCCCAGCTTACCCTCCCTGGCTCGGCCCGCATACGGGGCGGCGGAGCGCCGAAACGCGACCATCGTTGGAGGGCACCAGCTATACACCTGCACCGATCCTGGCCAGGCCGATCCTGGGCCCAGGATCGGTGTACATGCTTTCCTGCCCGAGGCAGGAGGGCGTATACACCGATCCTGGGCCCAGGGTGAGCCTGGGCAAGATCGGTGCAGGGTGTAGAGGTAGCGTCCTCCTGCAGCGGCGTTGCGCCGAGGCGTTCCCCACGCACCCCCGAGGAGGCCGCCGCGGACTACGGCGGTGTGCAGGGCTTGTGTGGTCACTGGGGGTGGCAGCCGCTTCGACCTGGGGCGCGCAGGCCCCGCATTCACTACGGCACTATTGCTGGCAACGGGGGCCAGTCGGACCTCTACGAGATGCACTTCCTCGAGGTGTCCCCGTTCGTAGAGCGTATCGTGGCCATCGACCCCAAAATGACGCAGCTGGGGCACCCAAGGAACGCGAGCCTCGACATGTCACTGCCAGGTTTCCGGCGATTCGGCGATCAGCTGCGGCGCGTGGAACTCGAAAACCCTATTACGAACGGGAAGTTAGTTTCCGATTTATCAGAAGAGGAGTTCGACGCGCTCAAGC